GCCGGTTGAGCTATAGGCGCCGAGCCGGTTTTTCTATTTTTAATAGAGACTGGGTCTTGGTTTTGCTCAGGCTGGTCTCAAACTCGTGAGCTCAATCAATCTACCGACTCAGCCTCCCAAAGTGCTAGGATTATAGGTGTGAGCCACTGAGCGGGCCTTCATTCAATAGTTTTGAGCCTCATGAGGCTGGATGTGTCCCAGTCCCATTGATCTCAGGTTCCTCCTCTGCCACCTTCCACAGACCAAATGATGTGATGAATGTGAAAAACTGGAACGCTTTTAACGCTGGGGATACACTTGTAGAAATCACTTATCTACCAGGGATAATGAGGCCAGATCTCACTGGCTGGGATAGTCAGGCTGGTGGGTAAGATGGAGAAGGAACATGGCAACTGGCCATTCAAAGTTGAGAAACTTCTCAGCCGCCCTCCTCTCACATCAGGCTGAGGCTGGAGGCAGGGGTCATAGAACAGGAGTGCTTCCTCCTGCAGAGACCATTACTGAGCAAAAGTGGCAAGGGAGCAGGCCCACAGAGCTGGGGGGCCATGGAGGGCTCATCCCAGCTGGCCTTACTGCCCTCCTGCCTGTCCACTCTCCTCACTCTCCTCATCTTCTCTCCCCCTGTTCCCTGGATGCCTTCATCACTGTCCATTCCGGCCTTCTCTCGGTTCCCGGCAGACACAAGTGGTCCAAGTTCTCCCCAAAGTCCTGCAGGAGCTCAGACTTGCAGGGTCTTACTCTCTGAGGTCCCAGTTCCCAGGTTCAAGAGGGTGAGACTGGTGTGAGGAGACTGGGAAGGGACTGGGAGGGGCTCTTCTATGTCCTTCCTGAGAGTTCCAACAAGAATGTTGCAAGGGCTACAGCCTCAAGGTCTACCTTGCTTGAGGTAGTGTGACCATGAGTGGACAATGGTGTGGTGAAGGGGTATTGGGAAGTGCACCATGGACTCACAAATGACAGGGAATAGTTTTTGTAAACAAACTCTTTCCTCAAGCTTAGTGAGGAAGATGGTTCAACCAAAGGGACTTTAATAAAGGGACTATTCACTGAGTAATGATAGGGCCAAAGGAGCCAACAAGGGGTGGTGAGACCCCTCCCAGGGACAGTGGGAAGCTCATACTATCCCTGAAGTGGCACAGGAAGAAATTGTTTCCCTGAAGTCCAGCATGAGCAGGAGGTAGAGGAGGGCTCCCTAGTAGCCACAGAGGACCACAGTATCTGCCAGAACTGCCTGCCACTTGAAGCAGGAAGAAATGCCTGGACTCCTCCTCCAGGGCAAGGAAGACTAGGTGTGCCCTAGCTGTTGCAGGTGATCAGCCTTCTGGGGACACAAAGCAGGGCAAAGAAACAGGGAGGAGGGGTCTGAATGTAGAAGAGGCAGATACAGAATAATCAGGCCAATATCCTCATCTCCTTGTTTTTTTTTTTTTTTTTTGAGACAGAGCCTCAAGCTATTCCCCTGGGTAGAGTGCCATGGCATCACGCTCACAGCAACCTCCAACTCCTGGGCTCAAGCGAGTCTCCTGCCTCCGCCTCCCAAGAAGCTGGGACCACAGGCGCCCGCCACAACGCCCAGCCATTTTTTGGTTGCAGCCGTCATTGTTGTTTGGCGGGTCCGGGCTGGGGATTCAAACCCGCCACCTTAGGTGTACGTGGCTGGCGCCTTAGCCGGTTGAGCTATAGGCGCCGAGCCCTCCTTGTTTTTCTATTTGGTGAATTTGAATTTTTATATATTGAGGCTTTTTAAAACAGTCACAGTTGGGCGGTGCCTGTGGCTCAGTGAGTAGGGCGCCAGCCCCATATACTGAGTGTGGCAGGTTCAAACCAGCCCCGGCCAAACTGCAACAAAAAATAGCCGGGCGTTGTGGCAGGCGCCTGTAGTCCCAGCTATAACGCATGATTATAAAGTAACTTGTCAATCTTTTTCTTAAACATACACAAATAGTCGGGGCAGCATCTGTGGCTCAAAGGAGTAAGGTGCCGGCACCATATCCTAGAGGTGGCGGGTT